AAAGGAAAGGAAAGGAAAGGAAAGGAAAGGAAAGGAAAGGAAAGGAAAGGAAAGGAAAGGAAAGGAAAGGAAAGGAAAGGAAAGGAAAGGAAAGGAAAGGAAAGGAAAGGAAAGGAAAGGAAAGGAAAGGAAAGGAAAGGAAAGGAAAGGAAGGAAAGGAAACTGGAAACACTCATTTTTTTAAAATCCCTTGTGAAAAATAAAGAGAAAAAAAGTGGAAAAAATGGATTCCCCATTCTACCCCCAAATAAACTAAGTCCCATTTCCAGAACAGTGATATTCTTCTTCAGTTTGTTTTTGTAAAGAAATGGTAAAATATTTGTAAAAGGTGTCTTTATTTAACTTAGCAGAAATAAAAGAAGTATATAGAGGACAAAAGGGGAGTTCAGGGAGGAAAAGGGGGGTAACACACGGCAAACCCAAAATAAGAGACAATAAGAATGATATCTACCAGACAATGTAGTTTGTTTACCATAGCGTGTCCAATGCCTGAGTGCTTTGCGGAAAAGGGGGAAGAAAGGAAATTAAAAAATTGTGAACAGAACGATTGTTAATTAAAAAAACTAAAAACAAAGATGAGTCGTTAGGGTGTTAGTACATTAGTCGGTTAGTAAAATGACACATTGCATGAATGATCTTGTGTTAGTTTTTCAAAAAAAGGCACCCAACACAGAAAGAGAGAGAGAGGGGAAGACAATGTGAGCAGGACTCTATGGGAAACTCTGTCACCTTGGGCCCAGAAGGGAGAGAAGCTGAATTCCTCCCTGCTACCTCCATTTCCCTCCTTGTGTTTTCCTGAATACCATTCCTTTGTCCAAACTTCATTCCATTTAAAATTGGTGTAATACTTACTTTCCAGGACTTCTTGTGAGCAAAAGCTGCCCTTATTCCCACTCCCACCCCCAACACACTTGCACTTTAAGAAAAGACTCCATTAAGTTGTTGTGTAACACACTCATACATACGTAGCTAAGTGGATGTTGCCAAGAAATCAATATATTTGGGATACCCTTTCCCCCTTGCCTAAGAGCAGAAAGAACTGAATCTCATATATTTTACTTACTTAGTTTTACCATCCTATGTACTCTAGGATTGTACTCTAGGTATGAAGTCTGCTTCCTTGATTTTTAGGGACATTGAAACATTGGAGGAGTAAGTAAAACACAGCTCTCTTTATCATACTCTTGCATTCAGAACTCACCATGAAGCTTGTAATTATCTTCACTGCCCAATATAGGGCAAAATCTGGTTTATCTGCCATTGAACCAAAATGACATCTGCTGGATTGCAACCCCTGCCCGTCCTAGCCCAAAGTCCCTCTGCCTTTAACAGGGCTTTCCAGTTGCTTTAATTTTTTAAAAATGTCTTTTGAGATGTGCAAGGTGTGTGCCAGGAAGGTTAAATATTACCCAAAGAGCTCTAAAATGCAATCTCTTAATGGATTGGATCAGCTCCATTTGCTGCTAATAAAATAAATGCTTATTGGATTGGATTGCTAAACTGACAACAGAGTCTTGAGCTGGGAGGCTGGTATTACTATTTTGGTTTATGTGCTTGGGCAATCTGGGGACCCAGAGGTAAAGCAACCCATATAGTCATGGGGTCAAGTTCCCTGGTCTCAATCAGAAGGGGATAGATTCTGTGAAAGACAGCCAGCATTTAATGATGCAGCCCAGGGTTCTATACTGCTTCATTGTATTGGAAACATAAGTAGTACCTGATCTTGGCTCTGTCTTTACCTAAAGATAGAACTATGAATCAGGGACTATCCCAAAGACATCTAAAAACAAAAGAAAAATGTGAGACCACTATCATTAGCAAGGAATGCCTTGGAGAAACTGAAAGTGATCTTTCAGTTCCTTCAAATAGATTGTTTGCTGGGAAAGTAATTTAATCTTTCTGATAAAAATAAGAAAGGTTGCTATTATCTAGCTATTAAATATTTAGGAATACACCCATCACCCGCTAGGAGAGGAAAATGGGAGACTCCCAAATCACCAAACTAATACTTGAAAAGGTACTTAAAATATGACTTTTAAAAAATTCTGTACAAATAGATTTGAATTATTTAGTGTTAAATGATCACATTTTAAAAATCAACTCTTTGCTTCCCCAATATCTCCATCTCTTCAGAAAAATGCTTTTGGCCACACAGATGTAGTCAGGGGTTCAATGAAGCAGGACTGTTCTGGGTACACTTTCCCCATGAGAGTTGAACATTCCTTCTGCCAAGAGATACACAAAATTCAAACAGCTCCTCCAAGAGATTTCACTGGAGTGAGAGCAGTGAAAAGATGCTTATGCCATTTTTACTTAAATGAATCCCTGGCATTGGGCAGAGGCAAAGTCACCTTCAAGGCATAATGCACAGTCCTGTGAATTATGTGGATGTCACAGTGAATGTAGCACCTAGACACAGATGAGATCATAATCCTTATGGAACATAAGGTGTTTTGCATATTTAGCCACCCTATATGGCTGGAAAATGTTGTAATCACCATTTCACAGATGGGAACCATGATACAAAAGGTTAAGTAAGTGACTTGCCCAAGGTCACAGGGAGAGCTTGTGTATAAGGCTGGTGACAGAACCCCAGAGTCCTGACTTCATGTCCTGGGACAAAGCTAGGTCTAACTTAAGCAGATTCCAAGTCTGGCATAAATCAATTGAAATAGCAGCTCAATTACATTTAGTTTTTCTCAGTATTAGTTACTTCTGTGTCTAAAGGATGACTTCATTTTAAGAGCATGTACTTTTTAAATTTGTTTATAGTACAGATGAAGCCAACTCCATCTTGTCTCAATTAAAAATTCCCAGCAGGCCGAAAAACTATACCAGGTGAAATATTATAGTATCCAGAAAAAATGTTTCTTTGGTTAATGAGGATCATGAAATTGTTTCTATTCATATAAGAAAAGTACTAACTCATCACCAGTCAAATATCTCAAGGGTGTTATTGAGTACCTGCCAGTCAAAGCTATCAGCCAAAGCAGGAAAAAAAAAAGGTCATATTTCCATTTGCCAGTCTGATCCCTATAGTTCAAGGGTATCAGTCTCTAATATTTTAGCAAATGGGAATTTTATATGAGTTCTCTTAGCTCCTGAGGTCTCACCCAGAAATAAATAAATAAATAAAATTTAAGAAAGCATCAACATTAGAGGTCCTTGACCTCAGAGGAAAATCAAAGAGTAGTGATTCCAAAATGGATTATCTGAGTACAATAAGATGATTGGAGGCTATTCCTTATGTCATTCCTGGCCCCTTCACCACAAATGGAATAGTCTCATAGCATGCTTACCTGGCATTCCTTGACCTGAGAAGGGACATTAGGAGTACTGTATAAACTTTTGTCATTCATTCAGCAATACATATCGCTTCTTTATCAGCCAGTAAACATATGCAAATTCCTGTCAGTGCCCTTGTCTACACATTAAATTAATGAGACACTAAATTGGTCGAGATTACTTGACAAGTCCATTTTGGTGGCACTCACATAGTGTTTACTGATTAATAAGACATCAATGATGTGACCCATCTGAGTTAAATGATAAATTCACAAACAGTTAAAAAAAAAACCTCCAGGTTGCAACATGAATATACAGATGTCAGGATATCCACTGACCTTGACTGGAGATAAATTTCATCTATGGACATAGAGGGATGAGTTTTTATTACAAATGAAAACAGTTTCCCTCTGATAGGGTTCTCCAGCTAGGAGTGTTATCACCTGACGGAGTTGCCTAGCTTAGAATAGGCAAGCGATGGGAGTTCCCCAGCACGGACAGAACCAGGAAAAGCTGCTCCAAAGTTGACTTTTTAAATTGGGTCCTTCCACTTTCCAGGGCTCCCAGACAACTGAAGAGTCTCGTAGCCAGAGACATGAGCAATAAAGTAGGACCACGGCACCAAAGAACAGAGAAACAGAGGAATTCAGAGAGATTCTGGCCAATCAATTCCAAGGCTAAAGGTCAAAAGGAAATAAATAAAAGAAAAAGGAAGAGGAAAGGAAGACTTTGGGGAAGTAAGTTAAAATCATGACATCATGGCAATGATTAACTTAATTGAAAAGGAAAACAGAAACAAAAAATGAAGAAAAACTCCCAAGCAGCAACATAACACTCTGTTCCTAATTGAATTTAACAATAATATTACTGATAAGAATCCAATGTAATTAAGGAAATGATTTTTAAAGAAAAGAAAAGCACAGCAAAAGGAGACGGAAGTATTTTTAAGTTTTATCATCTATTCAACTGAATTTCTTTTCTTAAATAATGAGTGAAAAAATGGGAATTGAACTATGGAAAGAAGGATACCTCGACCATTTTTCTTGTATGATCTTGAAGAAGGGGAGATGTTAGCATACTTCTATAAGCTTGATTGGCATTTCTACACCCTCTCCACCTTTCCCATCATCTGACCCACAATCTTCTACCTCAACTGACCTAAGAAGAATGCCTTCCTGGCATTTTCTCCCTTTCACCATTACCTGCCGAAGGTTGCGGGTCACTTTGACATCGTGCCAGGCGTTGTCATTGAACTTGCCATTCACGGGTTCCACAATGGCCTCAAAGGCCCCTGACCCGAGGTTAATGACTAAGGAGACCGCACCATCTTTTAGAGCCAGGTTGACGTAATCAGCTGATTTGCCTGTGTGTAGGATGAGTCCATTCCGTTGCCACGTCTTAAAGGAAAGGGTGATCTCGTCGCTGCTGCTCTGGATTGGGTTCTGAGACAGGTCATAGCACAAGTACTCGGAGCCCCGGAAGGTGGCCACATTCTCATCTCGTGCTGCAGGCAGAGAAAAGAGGGGAGAAAAAGAAAGGAAACAGAGTTAGTACTTGGGTAGCTGGGTTCAAATCTGCTACAAGTACCAAAAAAAGAGTGTACTCAGAAGACATCAATAGCCCAATATTAGCAATTTACCTTTCCCCTAATTGCTGCATTAACACTCAACTGCAATATAAGAAAGACAGGGAAAAAGACCCACATGTACAAAAATATTTATAGCAGCTCTTTTTTGCAGTGGCAAAGAATTGGAAATTGAGGGTTTGCCCATCAGTTGGGAAATGGCTGAATAAGTTGTGGTATATGAATGCAATGGAATACTATGGTGCTACAAGAAATAATGAGCAGGCAGACTTCAGTAGAACCTGAAAAGATTTATATGAACTGATGATGACTGAAGTGAGCAGAACCAGGAGAACATAGTACACAGTAACAGCCACATTGTGTGATGACTAACTTTGATGGACTTATCTCTTCTTAGCAATGCAAGGATCTAAGACAACTCCAAAAGGCTCATGATAGAAAATTTTGTCCACATTCAGAAAAAGAACTATGGAGTGTGAATGCAGATCAAAGCATATTATTTGCTCTTTTTTTTGTTTGTTTGTTTCTTCTTTCTTGCGGTTTCTCCCATTGGTTCTTATTCTTCTTTACAACATGACTAATGTGAAAATAAGTTTAATGTGAATGTATATGTTGAGCTATGTCAACTTACATGCCCTCTTGGGATGGAGGGAGCGGAGAGATGGGAAGAAAATTTGGAACTCCAAATCTTACAGAAGTGAATGTTGAAAACTAAAAATAAATAAATAAATTTATTATTTTAAAAAAAGCCAGAAACCAATTTTAGAATTCCTTCATCTAAACAAAAGACACACTCAATGGGTTTTGAGGTAAGTAACTGAACATTTAAGTCCTATGAGACAGATAAAGGTGGTGGAGGAGAGGGAAAATCCAACACATTAAAAAGTATGTTGATCTCCCATGTCCATTTGATTTTTGTATTCCTACATGGGAGAAGGTGTTTATATAACTAAAAATTCAGGGAATGAATATTCTCACATTTGTTTTGTTTTGCCACTGACTGTAATTACTATCTAATGCCTCAGCTTTCTTCATTTATCTGATGAGGCGAAATGGTATGTTCAAACTTTTATCTCTCTCAATATATGGTAAATAAGTGCACTGATCAATTAAATTACTTTGGGCTAAAACAAAACATTTTTCTCTATTATAAAATGCTCCCCATCACAGAGATCCTTTGCAGAAATGAGGGCAAGATCTAGAACTCATGATTCTGCTTATTTAATGACTAGATTACTTATTTTCCCATTCTATGCGCAAATTAGGTTAGCAACAAGTTCTGCTTTCCATATGCCAATACACAAAGGATCTTTGATTGAAACTTTCCCTTCCTTCCTTCCTTCCTTCAAATCATATACAACCCATCTATAACTTACTAGAATGTAGACTCCTTGAGGGATTAGTTCACTCTTTGTGTTCGTAGACCTCATGTCTAGCAGATAGTAACTGAGCACACTCCCTGGCACATAGTACATGCATTATAAGTATTCTATTTCTCTATTATAAATATTTGTTGATTAATTAACAGTAGATTACTGAGTCCTATGGTGTTGCTTGAGGCACACAGAGATTGTGCCTTGTCCAGGATCAAACAGCTAGTAAGCACCAGAGGCAAAATTTGAACCTAACCCTAATTTCACCTCCAACATTCTATCCATAATGCCACACACTCTTCATTTTCCATAAAATAACTTTATACAAACAATTTTGCCAATTTTGTACAGGGGATTTTTGTCTAGGAATGGATTTGACTAGATGACCATTGAGGTCCCCTTGGCTGTTTAAAGGCTCCCTAAGCTACACTTAGAACATCTAGATGACTCAGTGGATAGAGCACTGAGCCTGGAGTCAGGAAGACCTGAGTTCAAATTTGACCTCAAACACTTAATAGCTGTGTGACCCTGGGCAAGTCACTTAACCTTATTTGCCTCAGTTTCATCATCTATAATATGAGCTGGAGAAGGAAATGGAAAACCATTCCAGTATCTCTGCCAAGAAATCTGCAAATGGGGTCATGAAGAGTTGGACGCAACTCAACAACAACAACAAGCTACACTTAGGTGGGGGGAAAACAAACATGGCATCATTTTGTTGTACCCCTCTCCTTGATGAAAACTTGACATGGAACAGTGATACTTTTCAGAAATTATGTTGGGAAATGAATACATAGCATGTGGGGAGAGGTGGGACAGGAACACAATGTCTTAACAATGAATTCACGTTAGAAAGTTACAAACAAATCTTTCTGTGTTTGATAATGAAATCTCCTCCATGTGTTAAAATCCAGTCGAAATCCTGCTCTACAAATTTAAAGGTAATGATAATCCAGAATTGATGGTGATAAATCCAAAGGAATTATCATTATTAAGCTATTTTCCCAAGACATAGGTTTTAGAAGTACTAAATACACTGTCAACAGCCACCGATGTGTGGGATAGTTTATTTGTGTACGCATATGCTCTCTGTGGTTCTTGGCTTGCATCCATGGAGCAATGAGGAAGATATTGGTCTTCCTCCTTGGATACATTTGGGGGCATGTACCAATGAAATGACTGAATCTTCTTAGGAGTAGGGATCCCTTTCACCTTCCTCCTCACCCCATTTTCTCATCATGCCCTGGCCATGGTAGCAGCACAGAATCATGGAATTTCCGAGTTCAAGAAACCTCAACATTCACCTAGTACAAATCATATCCATAAAAGAGTACCCACAATCAAGCACCTGAAAAATGACCATCCAGCTGCTTCATAAAGACTTGCAATGAAAGCTAACCAATTGCCCCACACTTGTCAAGAAAACTAATTCCACTTTTAGATAGCACTAATCATTAGAAAGTTTTTCTCTTTATGTTGCCTCTTTGCAACTTCCCTTCGTTACTCCTACTCTAACTCTCTAGGGCCAAATAATCCATGTGACAACCTTTCAAGTAATTGAAGACAGCTATTATGACTCCCTCAAAAAAAAAAAAGAAAGAAAAAGAAAAAGAAAAAAAGATTTTTTCCTCTTCCAAGTTAGTTGGACATGTGACCAATGTTATTGACATGATTGATTGACAACTGTGTAATCTTTAAGAGCTTGCTTTTTCAAAAATTTCTCATTCTGTGTTTCCTTATGTAAAAAGAAAGAAGAATGAGATATCCACTCTCCCCTCTGTACATAGAATATTTCATGTCACCAGCCATGTATCCTTTTTGAATCGTCTCAGAAGAAGCAGCATTCTTCACCCTTAGAAAGGATGAGGCTACATGTAAAGTGGTGGAAGGGGCCATGTAGGAAGGAGGTTGGAATAAAATTGGCCCTGCTTTGGCATCAGTGACAGCCTGTAATAGTTATGAGCTGGTATAAGGGCTGAGTATTGACTGGGCGTGGGTTGGCTTGAGATGGATAATTAACTGGACTGACAAAGAACTCTTTAGCTGTAGGTACTGTTTATTGACCAATAACTAAAAATCAATTACCCTGAAAGATTTGGCTCTGATTTTCATTAGTCAATAATGCAACTACAGTAAGTTTGGGTTCCCCAGTGGAGCCTTGAACCCAATGGGATGTGACCAGGTTGTTATATAAGAAGTTGGGCCTGAGGTGGAAAAAGGATGGCAATCAAAAGTGTGAGGGACGGGAGCTCTGGTAGCAGACTCCAACCAGAGATGTGCTCATAGAAGAATCCATTTCACATCATTGCTGCGAAGAAGCCATCAGAGGCGCCTCATTAACCAAAAGAAGTTGCCTGCAATGCAACTTCAGATGTGCTGTTTCCTCCCTAGCAACATGAGGTAAACAAGGGGGAGAGTCCTTTACTCTCTGTCCAAGTTATGTCCATGCACCTATTCTCCCCGGCTTATTAACCACAGCCAAGAACTGTTAAGCTCAGCTCCTTATCAGTCATCACAGCCCTCATTGAAGCACTTAAGGAAAATAAATTATACTTCCTATCTTCAGGAAGTAGGACAAATTGCCCCTCCTTTTTTTTCTCTTCATAATAGTACCACCATTCTCCCGGTCACCGAGGCTCAAAATGGTCACAACATGTTTCCTTCTCCCTTGCCTCCCACATCCAATAAATTGTCGAGCCCTATTAAGCTGACCACAGTAATATTTCTCACCCTGTCCCTTTCCATTTTCATTGCCATTACTATCCTAAATCATGTTCCTCTTGACCTCTGGCCCGGATAATTCAATCATCTTCTGATTTGTCTCCTTGCCCCCTAATTTCTCCCCCTTTCAATCTACCCTATATATTGCTTCCAACTTAGTCTCAGGTTACAGAGAAGTTACCTCAGAGGTCATAGAATCATAGATTCAGAGTTGTAAGAGATCTCAAATACCATGTCGTTGAAGCACCTCATTTTATAGCTGAGGAGATTAAGACCCAGGGAAGTTAAATGACTTATCCAAAGTCATATAAGTTACAAGCATCAGAGGCAGAATCTGAACCCGGTCTTCTGACTCTAAAATAAATGTACTTCCCACCCTGGTTTTAAAATATAGGTCCTAGGTTCAGATCCTCGTATAGGTATCCTGATCACGGCTCCCCTTTGGTCAAAACGTTTTGAGAGCTTTCCTTCATCTAAAAAGTACAAATTGTTCTGCCTAACATTTAATTCTCTTCACAATTTGGTCTAGATCTGTTCTACCCACTCTATTTACTGTTTCCCCCTTCATACTGAAGGATACTCTATGCTCCTGCAGAAGATGTAATTTGAATTGGGTCAGGGAGGAAGCCCAGGAAGCCAGGAGGTGGATGTGAAGAAGGCAAGATTCCAGGCATGGGAGTCGGCCAGTGAGAAGTCAAAAGATGGGGTGTCATGTTCAAGGTATAGCAAGCAGACCAGTGTAGATAAATCATAGAGACTGTGAAATCTAGAAGAGTGCAAGTAGACTGGAAAGGTAGGAAGGGGCCACTGTATGAAGAGCATGAA